CATTCTTGTGAATGTGAGCTCAGGCAGCTAGATGAAGGCAGCAAGGGAGCTCTGGGGCACAAGGACAACTAAAAGATGCCTGAAAGTCCCTTCCAGCTTCCAACTGCATTGCACTCTATGGCTGTGCAAGGTTCATCCTGGCTGTGGCTGCTCTGATTCTCAGTGAGATTCTGGAGTCCAAACTGTTGCTACAGGAAACTGCAACCTCAGCTGAGGGGCCACCAATAGTCACTATGGACTGTGTAGTCAGATGCCAGTAGTCCATTTTTTATTTTTCTTCTCCTAGGAGCTTGTGCACAGCTATTCTTTTCCCTCGCTTTGTGCTCCCAGTTATGACGGTACTTCTTGGTCTCCTGTGGAAGCTTCTTTCTCTTTTTGGTAGATAGCACAAGTGCAGTGCCAGATCAGACACTCATATTTTGGGCAGAGGAATGGATCTTGGTTCCTATCCTCAGCTCTAACATCAATTCATTCAGTGAGTGAGTCACTTGGTGTGTATGTCTCCATTTATCCATTATCTGTGGTGGGAAAGAGATCAATGTCTGTGTCATGCATATTGTTCCACTGTGCTGGAATAGGAACAGGCAGATACTGCAATGACTATGGTGCAGGGCAGAGCTCTGGCTGTAGAGGAGAGTTTCTGGTTCAGAGGAACTTTCCACACACACTCTCATTTTCCAATTGAAATGGGGTAAATCTAAAAAAAAATTTATCTGTTTGATAGAAGATTTGCAAGACCCTCAGAGTGACTGAGGTGTCAGGGCAGACTGCAACCCTGTCTTGGGTTTGGCAGAAGCTCATCAAAGCCAGAGCCGAAGTGTCATCATGACCTGGTATTCCCCAGTGAAACAGATTATTTTTCTTGCAAGTCTCACAGGCTTCTGATCTTGGATCACCCGTAGCCTTGTTTCCCCTTCCAATATCCTTTTAGGTTATGTTATTTCACACAATGAGCTACTAAAGAGAACATCTATCGAGTCACTATCCCTGGAAGTGTTTAAGAGGCATCTGGATCTGATGCTGGAGGATATGGTTTAGGGTTTAGGGGTTACAGCAGAATGGCAGGCTAATGGTTGGACTCAATGGTCTTAGAGGTCTCCTCCAACCTTGATGATTCTATAATTCTACATAGGTCACCTCACCTGATGCACTGGTCACTCCAGAGCATCCCCTGGGAAATACAGGATTTCTACACACCCAGCCTGCTGAAGTTGCCCTTTCACCATGACAGCATCAATGATGGGAAGGAGTACAGCTTTGGAGTACCACTACCAGCCCTGCTCTGATCCTGCCTGGGCTGCAAAAAGGGAGCTGGCAGACTCTCTGTTCAAGTCTTCATGTACTTCTTTCCACCCTGCCCTGTTTTCAGGTTCCTTAAAAAAGACTGTGTGGGAGTAGCAGTGTACAGACTTTCACTGACACCATCAGGATGGATGAATCAAACGGAACAGCTGCTCCCTGGGTATCTAGTCATATTGTTGAGAGCTACATAAATGTCCCCTTTCACCTCAAAAAGGCTGCTAGAGGCAGCAGTCACACCTTTACTGTGTCTGAAAGGTCTCAGAGGTACGGAGAGCACCGGAGGACTTGCAGCTCCAACATCTAAATTTATGAGAATTAGTAAAACATAAATATTTGCTTTAACATAACTGTGACAGTTATGTCTAGCACTGCACTGATTTAAGGCCTGAATACTGACCAGCATCAGCCTCCTGGCTACAGCAGCATGGTACCTTCTGGATGCATCTTCAGGATAAATTCTTCACCATAGAGCTCCTCTGCTGGATACTTCTAAAGCAATGTAGGAATGTTTAATATTCACAAATAGTGAGTATTTCTACCCTGCTTCAGCACTCATTACTGTTGCAGTGATTCAAACCTCCAGCATAGACAGAAACTGCCTTGAGCTGAAACTGAGCCACTATCTAATGTAATATAGTCATGAGATGCATAGAATTTGTACAGTTGAAGTGCCTTGAGCATGGTTGAAAGATTTATTTCCTGGATTCATATGGAGGGCTTTTTAATAGGGAGGATTTGACTCTCTGTGCATACATCCATATGAGAGAGAAAAAGATTTTACAGTTTTAAGGGGGGAAAGGGACATTTATGCTTCTTGAGAATATGCACCAGGGAAAACATTCTCTATTTTGCATGGACCTGTTATATTTACAGCTGCATTTTCTGAAAGAAAACAGATGTGAATGTATCATTCACAGTCTGAAAAAAAATTTTGCCATACAATTGTGGTACATGCAGAGAGACGGACAAAGCTGGAACACCTGAAGACTGCACTATGGAGTGGGACATTGAACTACAGATGGGGAAAGTTTATATTTGATCTGAGGAAAAGGTTGCTAGAGAGAATTCTGTAACCAGACTCAGATTAAGGAGAAATAAATAATAATTTTAAAATATCATATATTATGTAATTTGTGAGCAACATCTCCAGGGTTGGGAAAAGGAGAGACCAGTAACCATTTCATACCATCATATCCCTTTGATCTGTATATCTGTCTTAGCACACATCTCTTCTGTCTCAGCTGCAACTCCTCTGTTGCTCCTAGGATGCTTGCTCCAGAGGCTGCAGGTGGAGGGGAGATTAGGCAAGAAAATTCCTAGGATTCTTCTCCTCACCCTTTCTAGTCTGGATAGATAAGGCAGTGACAATGAACAAGCAGAGGAAGTGTCCCGTTGTTGCCAGCTAGGAGATAGAGCCATTCTGCAGGGATCTTTCTGCAAGATGATTCTGACTGTGGTTTAGAGGGGTGTGGAGCTGGCCTGGCCTCCTTAATCCTCTCTTATCAGCTGTTATTTCCTTAGATGTAAGCAATGACATGATACAGCACCTCAGAAGTTTCCACACTCCCCTCCCCAAATGCCATGGTAAAGATGTTCTTTTGTTGCCCCGAAGAATCTGAAGTTTTCTTGTCATTTTCTTTCATTTCTCAAGCCTGCAATGTACACCCCAAGTCCTGCTTCTCCCTTGTCTACCTGACTTTGAAATATCTAGTTCATAGACCCTGCTGACATTTAAATCATCATCCCAGGGTAGCTAGGTTGATGCAGTTAAGTTAATCAAGCCATCTATATCCCCTTGCTAGAGGGCTCTCACTAGGGTGGTTTACTAAATTAAAGTGTACTTCCTTCCTCAAGCTCTGCCAACTGGATGAAATCTTTCTGTTAGGAATTACACCACAATATTTTTTCCTCAGTGGTTGACTGAGAAAAACGTGGTTGTCTGTCAACTTACTATAGTGCAACTTGCACCTTCTTGATGCAAATCTTCTTGATGCACATTGTCTCAGCATTTGCCATACTGATGCCTCTTTCAAGAGCAACTCATCCTGTCCTAAGTGACTAATCGGAGCAGAGTAGGAATAATAATGCTCTTGTGGCATCTCTCTTTCTCTCACCTCCTCTGTAAGGAACATAGAACTTGGTTTTCTCCAGTTCTGTGTTTTCCAGGCAGATATATATATGTGAGTAAGCCCACACCTAGCTTTAACCCCACATTCAGACCCATCCCTAATATGTTATGGTAACGAGGGGATACAGCAAGAGAACTGGTTAGCCACCCTCTGCTTGAATTGCACATTTTGTCATCTCCTTGGCATATAAAATACTGTCTTCCAGTCATGTGCTGTTCATGTGGGAGTAACCTGAGGCAGTTTGAGCATAGGAAAATCTGTACATGTAGGAAAAGAAGTGGAGTTGCCTTGAGCAAGACAACCTTATTTGACCCTCCTCCTTCCTTTACAGCTGCTGTTCCAGCTGGGCCAGAGAAGAATGAAGGGACTGAAGCTAAGGCCAGATGTTGGCATGAGGCACACAGGAATTGAGCAGGTTTTCTCCATGCCCTCCTGCCAGTGCACATTAATCCTGAGCCACAGTGCCCTCTGTCATTCCAGCCCATGATCCTTTCCTTTAATCCTTCTATTTATACTTTCTGAGCTGGAGTCTCCTTTCTTATGTGCCAGTTTTAGACCTGTGTTGAATTCATGGATGTCTGTGGATTTATTCCTGGCTTACTCTCACCTATAAAAGAAGATAATTAGACTCATCACTTCTAGGTACCAAATGGAGTATCCCCTATCCCTTGGTTCTGTACATAGTCCATGTATTCCTATTTTTCATTGGTCTGTTTCAACACAGAACAACCTGCTGTTTTTCCAGAGCTATATTCCCACAAAGAACACCCTAGCACTGCTGCTGAAGCTGTGTCAGGGACAGTATGTATGTACCTGCAGCTTCCTCCATGCTGAGTTGCTCTGGGATAAACTCTTCCAGTATTGTCTTCCTTGCACTAGTGTCAGCAAGCTATCAGTAGCCCTTTTTTTCACCATCACCCCTCCACATTCAACCTGGCTATTGTAGATTGTCCTTAGGAGAGTTTAATGTTCTTCACAGTACCATTGAAGAGAGCCAGTTAAGGATTTGGACCTTCCTGTTGTGTGCCCTGGCCAAATGGAGGAAAAGGCCAGGACTTTTCTCACAGACCTGAAGTCTAAGCATAGCATTATATGTTTTTAATAAAGGACTGATTATATGAATCACAGTAGCAAAATGTTCTTGCAGAGCACATGGCCCACTCCCTGACTTAAGCCTCCAAGGGGTGTCTATATATCATTCCAGAGGAGGGATTCTCCTGAGGCATGGATTAGCATGTAGCCCCCTGCAATACAGAGGAGTAGCTACAGAGCTAGGATTCAAAAGTGTCTTTTAATGAAGCTACTTGTGGCTCTTTATTGGACAAAAATAAATTCCAACTGGCCCATATAACACATGAAACTCCACTACAAAAATGTAATGATATTTATTCACCCAGCTGCCAGCAAATTCACATGCACTATGAGTCATTCCAGATGTGAATAAAAACAAAGTCTGTCTGTGAAAGTAAGTTTCCTGATCCCGAGGAGACTTGGTTTGGGAGAGAAGCTGCACGCTGACTTCAGCTGTACCCAGAAGAACAGACAGGTTCTTCTTCAAAGGGGGAGGGGGAGAGGAAAAGCCATTATTTTTTCCTGAAAAGAAAGGAGGTGGGAAATAAAAAAGCTACTATACAGCTAGACGTACATATTTTAAAGAGAAGGATGCTTTGGAAGACTTTGCTGCTGCTGCTGTTCTATTACAGTGCTCATGCCACTGTGACCCACAGATGGAGCAGAGGTAAGATTTAAACATGAAAAACTATTTAAGACTGTAGATTTGATCTGAAATTATGTTGCATCATACATTAATATGCATATATATATACAATTTGTCCATTTCAGCTCTGGAATTCTTTTTCTCTGTTAAACAGGTCAGCTAAAAATTATATAGATTAGTGGAAAAATACAGATAAATAAGAGCAAAAAGGTAAAATGATGTATGTATTCTATTATAATAAAATATATAAAATATCCCAAGAACAAAATTTACATGCTTGCACTTTTTCCTTTCTTTCTCTTTCTCATTGTTCTCCTGCATAAAGAAAAATTTTATGTTATGAAACCTTAAAGTAAAAGCCTTTGCAGTCACAGGTGGCATAATCTTCTGCTCCACCAGGCAGATACCTGGCAGTAGGAAAGGCAAGAATGTCTGGGTTGTGCAGGGTGCCTGGGAATGCATCCTATACTACCCTGGCAGACTAGCACAGGCAATACAGAGAAAGCTACCTGGTGTGTTATCAGGCTTCAGACACCAATAGGACAAGATGTAGTGGTGAGAGATTTGTATTCCAGTGTGTGACAGTAACATATCAACTGTTTTGGAACTACTGGATTGCATAGGAGATGCTTGTTTAAAAGCTAGTGACGATGTCCTTTCCCTTTTTTGTTTTATTCTCTTCTCTGGTATTTGGCATGGGTTCAGTAGCTGCTGGAAGTGGAGAAAGGAAAAACCTCCCAAAAGATTTCTTTGGTTCTAATATTGAGGTTCATGGATATTTAAAGGAAACAGAGTCTGTTAAATAAAATTGAGCATTCAAACACCTCACTCCAATCTCCCATGTCTTCCTCATTATAGCTGGTAACTTTCTAGTCTGCTATTTGGGTTTGGTTTTGATTTTGTAGGGGAGGGAATGGCTGAGTGAATCAATGAAGAGCTACACAGTTCTGCTCAGGCTGTACAAATGCTTAATTGTTCCTTACAGTTAGTAAAGAGCTCATTGACAGGGCATTGACCTGGAACTCACAATGACAAGTTCTTTCCCCAACTTCTCCATCAGCCACTTGGATGATGCTGCATGAGGCATTACACCTATATGTACCTTACTTTTTCTGTCCTGTATAATGCAGGAAGTGACACCAATTGTCATGATAAAATCCCTCAATTATGTAGGTAAGAGTTTGTTGTTCCAGGGATGACACATAAAAAGGTGAGGAAATCAGAACTAGATCTGTGTATATGAAAAAAACCATAACCCTATCTTTTGGAAGAATGAGGTCACCTTACATAAGAAATGGAAAAAAAAAAAAAAAAAGAAAGGGAAAAAAAAGGAAAAGGGTCCATTTCATGGAATGAACACTGCAATTTAAGGATGTCATTCACTTTTGCTAACGCACTTATTTTAATTAACCAACAACATTACAACCCTAAAAGGAATCCATTTAGCTATTAAAGTCCAATTTTAATCACCATGAATATTTAAAGAAAAACATCAGAACTCTATTTTGCCTTTTGGGAAGGCAGATTGTTTTCAAGCTGGAAGCTCTAGAGCTTGTTTTGGGAGACTTCAGAGGGAAGAGAAGATTCAGTCCCTGTTGTGATAAGGAGTTCAGCTGTCACAAATATTGTATGCAGGCATCTGCTGAGGAGGAAACCAGATTTCTTTTCCACAGCTACTGGGACTATTCAGCTCCAAATGCATTTTAGAGGCATGACTCCTTCCACAATAACTACTTCAGAGAACCTGCATTCTCCTGAACTGTCTATGTGTCAGCCCAACCAATCCCAACCTAATCTACAGTTTCTAGAGAGGGCCAAAGCACTGTCCTAATTTATGAATTGCTTAGAAACCTAAGATAAAATCTGAGTACTGAGACACAGCACACCCTTGTGCAGGCACAGAGCTCTTCCCTCCCTCCACAAATGGCAACTGAATCTTGTTTAGGTTCAAGCTCAGTCATTTAAGTCTTATCCAACTCCTGATCTGAGTTTTGCAATGAAAAAGCAAATACAGATCAGCATCCGGTCAGATGAAAATGAAATACAGATCTGTGTATCATGCCCATGTTGACTAGTAGTCCAGATTGTCTACAAAACAGTAGGACAAAAGGTCTTGCTTTAACCACCAACAGTTGTTGTTTGCGCTCTCTACTGACTGTTATTCCCTATAAAATGCCACAGGCAAGGTCATATTAATTTCTTAAGGTTCCAAATAGAATTCCAGATCTTAAGAGATTTTGATGCTGGAGAAACCAAGGAAATAATTCTGAGTTTTGACAATAAACATCACCACCACCCCCATCCCCCATGTGGAAACCAGAGACTGTGGCACTGCTTGCCACTGTGTTGATTCTATCAAACTCCTTTGACAAGTAGCAACACATTGGAGAGCAGAAGTTAGCTGTATAATCCTTTTAAGAAATTTCTTTTCCCTGAGGAGAAACTCATTAGCATGTTTCATCTCAGCTGGCATTAGGTTATTTGCTATAAGGACTGCCTGATTCTAATAAATGGCACACAAAGAGTAGCATGCTTGCTATGTGGTTGCTTAGAGAGAGAAGATGCAGATTTCTTGTGGTTGTGGCTTTTGGACAGTGAAGAAGCAGCTGCAAGGGTATGTTCACCCCTCAGTGGAGTCTGGAAAAGGAGATGTTAAGACACAAAATAAGAAGATAAAACGCTTTTCACCCATCAGTGAGAAAAGGATGTATTAGCACCCCTGAGGCTTCATGCTTTTGGAGAGTGTCTGTGCTGTGCCTTTCAGACCTCAAAAGCAGCATTACTGTTCCATCCAGATCTATCTGGTCCACATGAATTATTTTGTACCCAGTCTGTTGTGCTCAGTGAAAGTCAAATGGCTGTTCCATAGCACCAGGGGAACAGTTTACTCTCCTTAAATGCTTTCTTGCCAAGGAATTACTTGGAAGAACAGAAGGCCCATCATCCTTGATTTCCCCACAACTGTGCAAACTTTTAATATTTCCTCTAGTGTTGTGGTAACTCAGTTTGTGAGTTTGATGGAGCAGCTGCTACATGAGCAAATTTTGCCTGCTGCTCTTGCTTTTGGGCTTAGCTACAGCAGGCTAGCAGCTCTCCAATGCCAGGAGAGGGAAGACTATGTAGAAGAGAAAGAGAGACTGGCTGTTGCTAGAAAGCCAGCCAGTACTGGTATAAAGAAGCAGTGTTTAGTATATTCTAATAATTTGCTACATACCAGGTTGCTGGTGACCTTTGTCATGTGTGTAAAGATCGAGTGCCTTGGATCCCCACACCTTTTGATCTTATTTGCTTCTTTTCCCCATCACATCTCGTATTGCATCTTTACAGCCAGGCACTCCCTGCTCAAGCAACTTCCGGAATTTCACTGCTGATAGTCACACCTGTGTGACATTTTTGGCTTGGAGATCATGAGCAAAGGAAATGTGGCCCGAACACAGCATGAAATTGCAACACAAATGGTCAGACACATATATGCGTATGTGGCCAGCAGTCCTTAAGTGTTCTAGGTTATGGTCTGGGTTTATTTAGGACATGACAAGGCTTCCAGAGGTCTGGTCCAAATGCAAAAAAAAATTAATAAATACCCCAGCTGGACCAGCTACCAAAACTTTTAAAAATGCAATATTTGTTCAACTTCCTTTTGTTTCTGTAAGACCCTCGTTACCCAATTCTTAAAATACGTAGTGCAAATGAAAGACATGAAACACTGTGAAACAGAGCCAACTCTGTCTAAGCCTGACTGTGTAAAGAATGTTATTTCTTATGGAGAAAATGCAATATTTCCTTTTTTTCTGGCTCTCATGTGATCATTTAGAAAGTTGCCTCAACTGCCCCAACTTCCCAGCTTGTTGGGCTCATTCCAATGGCCTCACTGGAGCTGCAAAAGGGTTTGATCAATCTGCTGCAGAGGTTTTTCCCACCTATCCTGAATCTGTTCTGTAAATCTGTCCAGTTCCTGGAAATGCATGTTTTTAGGCTGGAGTCCCCTGATGCAAATTATTACTGTATCAAGTAGCACAACTGTACCTGTAAAGAGAGGAAGGCACTTTCTTGAAGGGCTGCCTGAATTGAAATTCAATGGAGTTAGCTTTTACTTCCTGAATTCCTTTGCAAAGAGCTGTGTAAGAGATGAGCATAATTTTAAGTTATAGACCTAAAATTAGATCCTTAAAACCCAAATCTGTTTACACGGTAAATAGTAGGACTGACATATGTTCTGCCTTTAAAGAAATTAGAAAGTGAAGACAAAATTATGTTTTCAAGAAGGTCTGGAAAATATTTTAGAATTTATGAACTAAGGAGGCAACTAAGATACCTGATGACACAATGATGTGTGGAGCAGAGATTACAGACCCAGGACTGAGGCAAGCTACCTGCCTTTCACATCACAGGATGGTGCAGGGACTCTAGCTGGTGTCCCAGCAGGACAATAGCTATGTGCATGACACATGCCCAAGGGAATGAGCTTTGTCTTTCAGTGGGGACAACCTCTTTGGACCCAGTGCCACACTGATATGGTCATACTGCTTCTGGCTCTGACATCTCTGCCCTATGCTTTGCTGTGCAGCATAGACAGAATCCTTCCATTCCTTGTGGCAGATCCCTTGGACATCAGCTGTGGTGACAGCCTTAAAACTATCAAAGAGAGTGGAATTGCTGGAAGAGCAGAGGGAAGACTGAAGCAGGGGCTAAAAAGGGTTAGTTTTAAGTACCTAGTAAAGCTGCTTGGTGGTGCAAAATGTAGCTGGAATATAACAGTGTCTGAATGGATTTAACCTCCATAGGATAAATATCCAATAGGATAGGGCTGCAGCTGTAATCAAAATCCTTTCTATCATGCCCTGATTCTCCAAATGTTCCTTTAGGGGCAGACTTAATTAATTTAACCTGCATGGAGGATGATACCTGAATCAGAATTCACAGTGGATATCTGAAACTGAAAGACATACAAAGGATGCTTAAAAAATATCAAAGTAGGTAATCTCTTCTAGGGCAATGATGCTAAACTGTGATGAGATCAG